AACGCCAGCAAGACCAGATGAAGATGCCACAGAGTCATTCAGTCAGTCAGTCAGTAACAACATGGAACTTCGTACGTACGTACATCAGTTCGAGTTGCCACACCACATTAGCACAGAGATTCAGTTGTCGATTCAAATCCCGTAGTGGTAGAGGTAATAAGAGTATAAGCAGTAATCGGGAAGATTAGGGTTTGGAGATGTGAAATAAATTTGGAAAGAGAAAAAAAAGGACATGAAGAATTCAGAAGATTAGAATTTGGGAGAACACAGAGAGTGGATGCACCTGCGCCATTGCAAACGATTTTGAGCCATGTCATTCAGGGTCTCTAACCATCGGTTGCTATCATCTCGCGGTCCCCAACCAGGTAGTCTGCACCTACCAACATGACTCAGTCCACTTGTCAGTGACTTCATGGACTTGTGCCATGTTTTGGTTTGGCCGCCCCTAGCTTTCTTCCAACCTACTCCTATACCACTGAACATAGCACGTCGAGGCAGTCGGTGGTTGGACATACATAACACGTGTCCTAGCCACCTCAACTGATGAAGTTTCACTACGTCATCAATTGATTTGCCATCCTTACCTAGTACCCGTTTTCTAACAACTGTGTTACTTACTCGATGGTCCCATGATATACGAGCAATGTTTCGAAGACACCTATGATCGAATACTAGTAGCCTACGAATATCCTGTACTCTTACCGGCCATGTTTCACTGCCATAAAGTAGGACGGAACGAACTACTGCGCAGTTAACCCGTCCTTCGCTTGATAGACGGATATCTCGCCTACGCCATAAATGACGCAAGTTGGCAAAAGCTAGTCGAGCCTTCTGTATCCGTGCTGAGATTTCGTCACACACTAAACCACAAGGGCTGATGAGACTTCCAAGATAAGTGAAGCGGTCGACACACTCAACTACTTCACTCCCTATCACTAGTTCGGGTGTCGATGTAACCCAATCTTGAAGCAACATTTTGCATTTCGAGGGAGAGAATCGCATCCCGAACATGCTTGCATTGTTGCTTAGAGTGGTCAGAAGACTCTGCATTTTGTCAGCGTCTTCACCAAATAAAACTATGTCATCTGCATATTCTAAGTCAACAAGTGAACCTCCCGGTAGAAGTTCAACCCCTGGAAATTTAGATGAGAGTGTTATCTCTAAAAGTACGTCGACCACAAAGTTGAACAAGAATGGGGAGAGTGGACAGCCCTGACGAACACCACTTGAGGTAATCAATTCTGATGACAGTTCGCCATAAGCTCTCACTCGACCAGTTGTGTTCGAGTAGAGAGCCTTCACAAGGTTAATGTACTTCTTTGGTACTCCTTTCAGTGACAAACACTGCCATAGAACCTCACGATCAACAGAGTCGAATGCCGCCTTAAGGTCGAGAAATACTACCAATGTGGGGCGTCTGAATGTGTGTCTGTGTTCTAGAAGCTGACGTAGTGTGAATATCTGATCTATACAACCACGTCCAGGTCGAAAACCGGCCTGGTTTTCTCTAATCTGCTCTTCACGAGCTTTGATTAGGCGTCTAAGTATTATTGAAGCTAATATTTTAGACACTATATTAGTCAAACTGATTCCTCTGTGATTGTCACAAGAGGGCTTTTGTCCTTTCTTATAGACTGGCACAATCAGTGATTGAGACCAGTCAGATGGGATTACGTCCAGTTCCCAAATTCTACCTAAGACCTCGGTTAATCTCATTGCTAATACTGGACCACCATCCTTAAAAATCTCAGGAGTAAACCTGTCAGGGCCTGCTGCTCTCCCTCGTTTCAGATTTTCTATGGCTTTTTCAACTTCGTAAAAAGTCGGAGGACCTACATTAACTTGCCATTCAGGTTGACTAGAGATCGTGGGAAGCCGAAGTGTGGCTGAAGGCCAGTTGAACTGATCCCTAAAGTGTTCGGCCCATCGATCCAATCTCCTGGATTGAGAATGAATAATATGTCCATCTTTCTCTGAGATTGTTTCGCTAACGGTCGGGTTCCTAATTCCGGTTTCCTTAACAAGTCTGAACAATTGTCTGCTATTACCTATTGCCGCTGCCTTTTCCATCTCTCTTGCTTTCGCTACCCACCACTGTTCGCGATCATTGCGTAGACTTCTTGTCAGCTTGCGCTTAAGCTGACTCCGATTTTCATTATGTTCAGAGCCAGGTGGAATGAGTTTCCGAGCACCTATAAGTGCGATAGATGCTGCTGAGATCCAGTGTTGCTCCCTAACCTTCTGGTTTACCTTACTAGCAGATATCACTGCTGTTTCCACAGCTTTTCGGATATCATTCCATGCTGCCTCAGGGTGGGCATCACATACATGGCTGCCTAACTGTTTTCCTAGTTGTTCCTGAAATATAATCTTAGCTTGACTATCATTAAGTAGGGCCCTAAGAGGTTTCCTTGCAGCATCTTTCCTACGTCCAGTAAGACGCAAGCAAATACGCGCTCGTACTAGAGCATGATCTGAATCTAAGCATGTGCTCCAGAATGAGCGACAGTCTTCTATCGAGCCCCTCCATCGGTGGATTATAGCGATGTGCTCTATTTGGGCTGACGTTGGGACGAATTAGGGGGCCGCCATGTTAAAAGATGTTTTTCCTTATGCTAAAAGTTAGTATTTGCAAGGAACAGGCGGTTATCTGAGCATAGCTGCAACAGACGGTCGCCATTATCTGTTCTTTGAGCCACGACACCATAAGATCCACCTAGGTGTCTTTCCCTATCGCTTAGTTTACCTACTTGAGCATTAAGGTCACCGGCCACTATTACTACATCCGAGCGCTTAGCTTTTCGGAGAAGGTCCGAAAGCTTTCTGTAAAACTCATCTTTTACATCATCTGAGCTGCAGTCAGTGGGAGAATAGGCAGAGACGACGAAGAGTCAACGACGAGTGTCCCTATCTTTTCGGATCCTTATTGTTCCATTCAGACGGACAGCGCACAAACGACTGTCTACTGGGATCCACTCTAGTTCTGCCCTAGGACTCATTGTTATACCCACGCCGGCGAGGCCACGAGAAGCAGAATCAGGGCTTCCAGATACACGAAGCGTAAATCGAGTCGGTTCTTTATTTTGGCATGGTGAGGTCAAATGAATGACGCTACTTGGATCCTGTATGCGCGTTTCGGAGACGCAGCACACATCGATGGCGCCAGATTCTAAAGTCCTAGCTAAGGAAGCCTGCTGTCCTATTATGCAAAGTGTTCGTACGTTAAAAGCTCCTACGTGTAGTTTAGAGCGTGGTTTCAGGAGACCAGGAATAGCGTTCCACGTACTCGAATCCTTTGCTCTAGCGGTGCGAGGTGATAAAGAGACGTGAGGAGGGTTAGTCATGGAGATAAGAGAGGTATTAGGAGGTGTAGGAAGGATTTGAATGTGACCAACTTGGTCTCGTGTGCTGTTACGGGTATGAGGGCTGATGTCACTTCCCGGCTGCCCACACCGTGGAAGGGTATTTCTTGAGGAACCTGAAAAGGAAATTGGATTAGTGTTGGTCTTAACGACCTGGGAGCGTGACCGCAGAGCCCAAGGGACAACTGCTTGAGGCCGGTCGCGCACGGCCTTTTCGTGGGGTTTTTTGACGTGTTAGCTCCGTTCTTCAAAGGGCCTTACCGCCGGAGACGGAGATCCGTGAGGTAAGGTGAGGTGTGACATTTTTAGGGTCGACCTTTTCTAACCCCACTCCTCCTTGTGGGAAGGCAGCATCGCTGTCATGCTGGTTGTCCGAGGGAAACACCTTACTGCTATCACACCTCTCTACAGTCAGCAGTACGACTTCGCCCTCAGACCTTGAGTTGCTGCTTTTAGTCTTACCGTTCACCAATCGACCTGCCTGGCATGGTAGAACCTACAGGAACATATGTTCCAGCCAATATAGCTCGGTTGGGTCATCACGATAGGCAAGCCCGACCACCGCGTCAAGGTAGCAGCTTCAGTCGGGATAAGCGCACGTAAAACAAGCTTTTCGAAGCGACAGATGGAGCGTATTTGTAGTACTTCACCAGAGTCTTGAATACGGGTCTCGGATAGACAGCAAACATCGATATTAGGACTTTCTAAAGACATAGCCAGTCCTATCTGTTGTCCAACCTGTATAAGTGTGCGAACGTTGAAGGCAGTCAGTTTGAATGGTGCACGTGGTTTCAGAAGAACTGCTTCAGTACTCATATTCGGTGGTAACATACAAATTTTAACCGGACAGTGACTCGAGAACGTTTAGATACAGTCGAATTTCCACCATAGACGAGCTGCTGTATAAGTCGAAAAAATAAGTATAAACAGAGTGGGAATAAAAGAGGATGAATAATGACGTAGTAAATTATTATTATTATTATTATTATATTACTAATAATGCGAGTCACTTGACTGTTATTTGGAGCGAGAAGAATATTTTTCATAAGTAGGTAGTTTGTCATGTTTTGTGTGCGGGCTGTGATACTGCCCGGGTGCCCAACCCGAAGCAGGTGGTTTCGTTAGGGAGCCACACCCCGAGTCTTTGACCTAAAGGTCTAACTCACAAGGCAATGGAGCATCGTGAGGAGATGCAGTCCCATGGTAGCCGGTGACCAAGGAATTGGTTCATACGCCATTTGTTCCCGCAGGATACTGGAGCCCATGTGCACCATTGGTTTGGGATCCGGTTAAAGCGCCGGACACTCGCTTTTCGTCCTTTCATTTTTGTAAACAACACCCCCGCCACGAGAAGGCAGTGAGTAGGACTTGACGAAAAAGTGAATCTACAGTGACTCCAGATATCCCTGAGATTATTGGAAACAGGGAAACGTAAGTAGGCAACATCAAAAAACACGAAAATACATAAAATCAAACAACGTAGTACAATTGTGTTCTGTTTATTATTCGTCTGAATCTTAATGTCCATCTTTATGAGCTCATTCAGAGACAACGGTAATTAGAAACGTAATTCATGAAAATGAACCACCAATCTCTCGGTCAACACATTTTCAACACGCACCTATTGATGCAGCTTACCTATGACAGCTAAAACATGTCTCCTGATTGTAACTCGACAAAAATCCATAAGACTTAAAGGACCGAAAGAAAGAACGTGTTGCTGATCACATTCATTAGACTGGCTCCCTGTAAGTGATCGATGCGATGCCCAGGCGATAAATAAATCATGCCAACTGGTATTCCAAATGTTAATGTCGTTATTAAACAAACAATTTGGATAAGATGTACAAGAAATATTATGAGAATTCACTAAGGAAACCCGTCCAAGAGCTAACCAAAGAGCAGTATTAAGTGGGCAAACAGGTCCTGACAGTAGTAGTTCAAATAATAAGATGATATTTCCAGCCGTACATCGGATATTTTCACCATACATACATGAACCAAATAACCACGCTAAGTCAGAGTTTTGAGAATCATAGTTCTGAAATTAGAAAGATAAATGTTTCTGTGAACAAAAATCATATCAGATAATGCCGGTTCAACGAGAATTTAGGGTTTACAATCAATAAAACAAAGCTTACTCGCTTAAGGGCACGATCAGCATCACTGAATCGTCTGTACAAACCACCATCAATTAATGTTTTTGGGTTGACCAGAAATACATGTGTTGTTTTCGCAACCAGTTTTTCATGGTCACATTCTTTTGACAGACGTGAATCTTAACAAACCAAAAGATACTAAGAGGAGTGACAACTTGTGTTTAAATAAAAATATGGTTTAATCACCAGTTTATAGAATGACCACTTCAAAAATTCTCGGTGGCAAGCTTTGTAACTAAAATGTCGAGTGACGCCTGTTTATACGAACTTCTACACTTAACGACAAAAAACAAACCTTAATATATCAGCGAGGTTTACTTTAGTCTACGTGTCATTTTGTAACCTCATTCCAAGTATATACTGAAACCTATAAAACACACCGGCTAACTGATTCCAAAGAAGAACATAGAGCAACATCATACTTCATCATTCAAATTACTGACATCGTCTGGTCGATAAAATTTGATGAAGCAAAGATTAGACGGCATACACCCAAACTGTTATCGACTGACTACTTCCCTTCACACAGCGCTTAAAACGTAGGTCCTAACAAACTAAAATTTCCCTAAAATCGCCATATCTAGTTGTGATGCCTAGGACAGTATTTAAGAATTATGTTGCAGTTTATGTTTAAAGAATAGAAATTAGTCATTATAGTTAGTTGATAATCACGATATAGATTTGTTTTTTGAAACGACGATAACATACACCGCTCTATATAAACTGATAAGCAGAACAGATACAGTAATCTATAAAAACATCTAATTTAGAAATGCAACATTGAGCATATCCATCTTCTATTTTTATTTATTTATTTGAACACATAAATATTGGTACTCTGTCCGTCATCCAAGACATTGATAGATGTCAGTGACTGGCACTCCGTCACCATCACAGATTGTTTCGCTCGCACCAGACGTCTTGCTGCCAATGACCCGAGTGAGTTGAAAGAGCTTCCGGCAGTTACCAGATGTAGCTGCTGTTTCCAACTCATTGGCACGCCCCGACCACCTGGCTTCTGAATCCTCATACAAGCTTTGGATAATTTCACTACGTAACAGTTTTCGTCTGTGGTCGAACCCACAGTCACTCAGAGTAGACCAACGAGCATCAATGAGTTGTAAGGAGCCCGAAGAAACCCAGTGCTTATAAGCGGGACGTTTCGCGAAGCTTCGGGTAACTTTACTCGCCATTTCCATGATGTCATGCATTTGTAACCGCTCCTTATCTACACTTTTCGATGGGCTGGCAGCTAGCCTAGAATCTAGCTCGGTTTGATATTTAGTTGCAACAGAAGCTGAAACCAATTCGCTTACATGAATCTGTTTAGCGCGGTGAATTTGTTGGCCACTGAAACGTGAGATAAAACAAGTGCAAACAAGGGCATGATCAGAGTCCAGGTAGGTACTTTAAAACGAGCGGCAGTCTTGTACACAACCACACCAGTGGTAGCTGATTGCGATGTGATCAGTCTGAGTTCAGGCTTAAGGTGCAGAAGGAGGACACCAGGCAGTACACCGGCGATGACTGTGCCGGTATTTATTGCTAGACAGACACAGGTTGTGATCTGAGCACAGTTGCAGTAGACGGTCACCGTACTTTGCAACGAGTCCATTAACGACTCATGGACCCAAATAGTCATTGCGTCCCTCTGAATTAATTAAACCACCTACAACCAACAGATCTAACCATCCACATGTCATAAATAAATCAATTAAACGACTGGTAAATTTATTACACCAATTACAAATAAGTGATACTACTTTTACATTTCTTTGTCACATAGATATTAGTACTAAGGTCTGACTTGATCATTTAGAAAAAAGAGTATTGAGTAGATTGTTAATGATACACTTGTAATATCTAAACGAGTAGGGAATAGATTTTCTAGCGTCTGGTGGTTTAGTGTAAGCCACTATCTTTCTATGATCTTTCCGTATTTATTGGCTTGTCATCATTTCTGTGAATTCAAATAATTATGTTCAATAAAACATTAAGAGTAGTAGTTTCATAAAATCTCTAAAATTATGCTTGGATTCAACCTCGTTTACCCTTGACGTGACATTACACAAACAAAGTGGTAATGGGAACTCATTTGTTTCCACTTGTAGCCACATAGAAGCAAACATCTTCGTTAACGACATTAGACCACAAATTTAGCCCAGATATGTTGACGATACTTCTGTCATCAACAAAAAGACGTTCCTAAGAACTTTCTCTGAAATGATTAGTAAACACTGATCTAATATCAAATTCATTTTCGGAAATCAAAATAAACACGTTGAGCATTCATTTTCAGATTGTTTAGCCAAAATAGACCCAAGTGGAACTCTAAATCTAGCTATCTATCATGAACCACTACGCTTCAATGCGACACATTTATTCTGTGCATAAAGCTCTGTAAAAGAGAGAACGACATAATTACACCTAAAGAGGACAAACAAAAGGAACAGTAGGCTATAATTAACATTGCATAATTTACTAGTCTTCCTATGAATATTATTAAAACACACTAAAACGGAACGATCTATTGTTGAGTAATAATTCGGATGAACTACCATGGGTTGGTGCTGTGTTTCTATCACACCATCATGGTACAGCAGGTCCCAAAAGAATCTTAAAACTACACACAAATGAAGCACATTACGAAACAACCAACAATTCGACGTGCATTAAATAAATGAATTTTATTCTGGAATTAACTACGAAATGCATGCCGATTAACAGGAATGATCAGGTTGTTACAAACAGTAATATTACATGTAAAAAACATATGTACGATCTTAAATTGTTTGAAATGTAGTTTATGAATTATTTTGGGATAAAAATTTTCCTATGGATTAGAACAATGTGGTGTCAGCTGAGAACTATTAGTTTGTATAAAGAACGAAATTCCATTTACGCCAACACATAACTGTTTCTACACATTAGTTTGTATCAGTTATGATGCCTTCTATACGGGAGAGTCATCTCACGAAATCTTAACACACACCAAATAACATCGAAGCTACAAAAAGAACCACCTAATGATACTGTAGAACTTTGAAAACTCCAAATTATATAGGCAATCGTATTGCATGCCATCTTCGATGACCATCAAACCAATACTCAAATATCAAAACAATTTAAAGAGGCTCTCCCAACTACAAAGGAAGATGATAGGTGAAGCTGATCATATATTGCTAGACCCCACTGTCTTCAGTAGAAAAGAAGGTCTCCCCATTCATCCAACTTGGATAGAATTCTATTCACATTCCACACCATAATTACACATACGAATTTAACTCTACCTTTTCACATTACAAATATCACATTTTCACATCCATTAACATACACACAAATATACAAGTATGTCTGACAATAATCATTGTGACGGAAGTGATATGACACTGACTTAATCAGACCCTGTTTTGATCATACTAAATATTTTTGCTTAATCCCTTTATACTATTTACACCTGTGTTGATTTGTTTGGTTCATTTATTTATTCACTGAAGAAGTGTCATACAATGAGCTGTAAAACATCAGAAACTTTATTTTCTACCCAGTGGAATATTACAAATACGTTGTCTTTATCATTCCTGTCATATTGCGACTATGCATGGATCATAGTAACAATGAAAAATTGGTAGTGGTTTGATTTTGTGAACTGCTATTTTTTTATTTTTAATGTCCTTACTTCTAAATTATCAAAAGATTCCTAGCCTTCACTTCAAAATAAAATTGTCGCAAACATACCCTTCATTATCTGAAATAAATGACTTACAGCGTTTAATGCTCCTGATATCAATTCAATAGAACAGGGCTCAATCAACAGAAGCTCAACAGAAAAGGGGTGTTTTTTGTAAGAATAAGGAGAATCTGAATGTGACGCAAGGAGATAAACAACAGGCAAGTAACGTCGCCTCATAGCTAAATCTAATGGAGTATGACCAAGAGAGTTAGGGGATTCTGAATTCCAACAAAAAGGTGGATTTAAGAGTAGATTAATACACCGACTGGCTGACTGGTGAACAGCAAACTAAAATGTCCAATGCAATAAAGAAAATAATTTTTATTCATATGTAAGATGTACAAATTTCAATAAATATGAATGTTAAAATATTTCAGTACATACATGACATTTATTTGATACGTCTTCAGCTGTGACCTTTTGGGGGAAAATTCTTTATTATTAACCTGTTTTAGATTCCCTTGTTTTACCTGAAGTAAAAAGGAGACCATCCACATTTACTGAGGAAATGATTATTTGAAGCTCATTATTCGATGAATGTTTAATAACCACGAGGCTGGTTTGCGACTAAATCAAAATCATTTAGTTTACTTATGGGATTCAGGTATTTTAAGCCTGTGTGCGCTTATAAAATTGCACCTGCTTCTTAAGGTCACTTGTAGTCTCAATCAACAGAAGCTCAACAGAAAAGGGTTTTTTGTAAGAATAAGGAGAATTTGGATGTGACGCAAGGAGATAAACAACAGGCAAGTAATGTCACCTCATAGCTAAATCTAATGGAGTATGACCAAGAGAGTTAGGGGATTCTGAATTCCAACAAAAAGGTGGATTTAATAGCATTAAAATAAATAACAGTTTTTCGGACATTTTGCTGCCGCTGACTAATCAGAAGAATTTCGATGCAAAAAAGCATAACTAGGACTTACCTGATAACTTGGTTACTAATACACAGACTAGCGAACTTAGTGGATGCTAATATCACCAATAAGTAAAAGTGGATAACATAGCGAACCAGTCGTGATAATACTGTGAAATAGCACAATAATAGAATATTGTGCTGTGTGAAATGTGGCTACCACTGATACTGTTACTACTTTTACAACTACGGGACTCGTTTTAGGAATTTCATCTCTCTGTGCTAGTGTGGTGTTGAAAGTTGGACCAACGCATGTGTAAGGTGCTACGTTGCGCATGAATGACTGAGGAAAATGATGTAGACAGGTCAATCAGTATCTAGAACTAACATTTCAAAACTTTGCGATGACGACTTATCTGTGAAACTCATAGCCCATCACAGGAATTAAAAAATTTCATTGATTTCAATGTGTAACTGTGGTCCTACCTGTGACTTAGTGGTTAGTATTGGAAATAAAAGTTGGTGATGCTGGACAACCTCGGGAAAATACTGCCGATACGAAAGAACGCAGATGTAGAACACAGTATTTATTCCTTATCACAATGCACAGAAAAAATGCATCTGAGCCACCGGATGATTTTCAGTCTGACCAGTTACACTCAAATATCTCATAAAGCGAACGAGAAAGTCAAGAGTTCTCCACAATGACATGTTAGAATAGTTGTTTTTGTCCGACTAACTGAAGAATTTGCCTGAACCATCCGAATTCAGCCAGCATAGTAAGCTGAAGAAGCTAGTGAAATACGACTCAACATACTTAACGGACGAGTGGGCTTGGATACAAAATAATGGCGCACAGAAACATAAAGACACCCAACCATTGAATCTGAAAAACCACAGTAAAAGTGAACACATCTCATCGATCCCCAAGTTGTCAACTATAGAGCAATGTCTAAAACACCCGACCCCCAACCTGTAGGTTCCAGGCTTGAACCTCGTCCCATCTACCTCGGTTCGAGTAGCCCAGTAATGTCACTTGCTCCACCACAAGAAAGTATGGCCTGAAGTGGAACATATCGACAAACGAGTTACATTACCATTTCTTAGATTATGATTTATCTCACTAACCAAAAGAATCATAAACAGTCAGTTTATCTCCCGAGCAGGTTTAATAGGTACGTAACCTATGTGCTTGCGGTAACTATATCCAAGTGCAGACTCACATATGCAAAGCTAAAATTAGCTTCTGGTAATTAAAACGGTTGAACTTACACTAATCGAAATGATCAAATAACATATCACTTAGATTAACAGTTAAATGAAATAGTTAAATCAACGTAACAAAAATATAGCATGCGTTTTTTGACAAAAGTAGAGATATATACATTACGCCAAAAACGTGCATGGGCATACATGAAGTAGGTTCTCACGTATTTGATGATTAACAAAACTTTTCTCTGTTACTAAATCACTTGTAAACGCAGTCCTTTCGTTTTTTAATACATCTCGCAGTTTGTCAGGACAGTCATTCTTAACCGCTTGTTCAGCTTTGCTCAATGAATTGGAAAACCTTTCCAAAAGCTCAGCCATATGGAAGTTTTCAAAACCTGAAATTTTAAAAACGCATAAAAACATTATCAGTGGCTGGAAATTATTTTTTAAGTGCTAGATGTCAGTGCAATTATTGAAAAAAAAACCGCTACACTGTAAAATATGGAACAGATTTTTGTAATTTTATCAGGGAAGTTGTCGACAGTAAGACTACAGGACGAAACTGGGTCGCTTTGTGTAATCAAGAATATAAGAAACTAATAGGGCATGTCAAAATTGATGAAAAATATTATTTCGTAGGGAAAATATAACTTGGCGTGATTTTAAAATTAAGTATTTTCGCGGAGTAAACATCTTTCCTTAAAATTTTAGGAAAATAAATTTAGTGAGACAATAGAGAATATAGAATAGAATGGGAGATCTCCCGGCGAGACTCTAATTTAAGGACGACCTTTGAACGACCTTGACAATTATTAGCCAATCAGAAGAACGTTAGTATAAAGTAAAAATATATTATATGAAAGTAATGAATTACAGTGGATATTCTTCTTTTACACGATTTAAAAACTTGTTAAGGTTTGATTAAGGTTCAGAGGTTCTGAATTCACAATGCATATGGAATAGAAACTCGTCTATTGGGTTAGAGTTAGGTTTACGGGTAAGGTTAGGGTTAGTTGAGGGTTAAGGTTTAGGGTTAAGGTTAGAGTTTAGGGTTAGTTGAGGGTTTAGGGTTAAGGTTAGGGTTTAGGGTTAGTTAGGGTTGGGGTTAGGTGAGGGTTTAGGGTTAGTTGAGGGTTAAGGTTTAGGGTTAGGGTTTAGGGTTAGTTGAGGGTTAAGGGTTAGGGTTAGGTAGGGGTTTAGGGTTGAGTTAGGGTTTAGGGTTAGAGCTAGGTGAGGGTTATGGTTAGGGTTAGGATGCTAACATACAAGTTTTTAAATCGTGTCAAAGATGAATATCTACTGTAATTTATTACTTTCTTTTAATTTATTTTTACTTTATGCTGTCTTCTGATTGACTAATAATTGAAATTGCTCAAACGCTTCTGATTGGCTCGTCCCTAAATTAGAGTCTCGCCGTCCTATCTGTTGTAACCTCTCATTAATCACCTACTCTCTAAAATCCGCTGTGAACCGATCGTATGTTAGCAGCGCGTGTTGAACTTGGCCCCGTGACCTTGAAATTGCTCAAACGCTTCTGATTGGCTCGTCCCTAGATTAGAGTCTCGCCGATCTCCCATTTCGTACATTATCCGGGACGATCCTACATTGAAGATATGCATTGTGACAGCTTTTTCGAAATGTACATGCTCAACGAAACATCTCGAAGGTTTGTGGGGTTTCATAGTTAAAGTACCAGCAAGATGAGAGATCCCACGAACCACTTACGGTTGGACAGATAGAAGTAGGAGATAAGTGGTTTGAGCCCTAAGCAACCAATAAGGGGGAACAAGGGGGAAATAAAGCGGACAAAAGAGTAAAATGGAATGGAAAAATTAATTTTTCCCCTTCACATTGTGTATTTGGGGGAAATCTGCAGACAAATATATGGGCAACGCATCAGGGGTATCGTCAACTGACGGAGGCCACTGAGCACTTGAAGGTCAGGCCGCCACAAAACGATCGGTGCGTCACCTCGACAATTTGTAAGGTTTTGCAGAAGCGGTCAAATCAAAACACTTTTAGATTTGGATTGAGTCCAGCCACACTGTCTCATAACGAGCAACGCTCCTAGGGTATCGTCCACTGATGGGAGTTGCGAGCACTTGAAGGTCAAACTGTAGCAAACTGATTGGTGCGTCACATCGACAATTCGTGAAAATTTTCAGAAGCGGTCAAATCAAGACATTTTTAGATTTGAATTGAGTTCAGCCACATCATGTCTAGTAACGTTCATTCTTCAAGTAACGAAGACGATGCCATCGTGATGATGCATAATATAGGTAATATGACTTCTGTGGTTAATAATATATTTTTTAGTATACGCGTACTAAGTACGTTATGTCAGTATGCAAAGAGAACAGTGATGATCCAACTCAAAAGTACTTTTTCGTGAGTTATGTCTGTACATATGGACGTAAACGCAGTTCGTTAGAGTCAGATGCTTGCGTTCAGGATGTAGATGATGATAGTAATAATCATTCTTCTGAAGAGCATACAACTTCTAACTCGCCAACACAACCTAGGCAAAGGAGACGACGTCGGTCATCTACGTATGCCTTACTTCAAATGAATTTATCCTTCAGGTCGAAATATTGCGCTTCAATGACTACATGCTGCCCTGTGGTCATATTTTGTATGCACATTCTAAAGATCTGATTCGTGGAGGTATGTGTAATCCTTTATCTCTACATGTTTCGTAGACTTATTTCGACATAGCAACAAGTGGACAAGAAAATACATAATGGACCTGGTTCTTCGTGCGCTGGACAACATCTCAATCTCTACAGGGAGTGATGATCTGCTAGAGAAGTTCGCTAGCGACTACCACTCAATCCATGCTCTTAGTGAACCTTTGGCAAGTAAACTCATCCGTTCGTGCCTCGAAGCATCGGAAGACATATGTGCACAATTGATGAGTTCAATCGGTGCTAATGACGAAGCTACAACGTCAGAATCCATTGTTAATACAGACCATAGCTATGCTTCTTGATAACAAGAAGTTATAATAATTTAATGTTTTTAGTTTTACATAAATTCATTTATATGGCCATTGACTTATTCTTATAGCGTAACGGCAGGGAGTGTACTGTGCAGTCTTATGTAGCTGTGAGACAGGGGTGTTGTTTCGCGTTCTTGTGTAATAATTACCAGTTTGGCGCACACGCGATTAGTCATACATACCGTTTACCAAATACTGCAACCTTGAACATGGTGTACCATACTAGTAGTTCGAATTTCGACCTGTCACGATAGATACGAATTGCCGTAATTAAAAAACTGGTGCGTTATAAATGAAAACGTTTATTAAAGTTTGAATCTAGCACAAATGATCCATTAATAAATAACTTCTATTTCTCAGGAATTGTTCCCGTTAGGTCTGTGAACGCTTGCGAAGCTAGCTGGAAATAAGATAGACAGGAAAGTTATTTCAGTATAAATGTTTACCAGAAACTAATATAAAAACGGAAACCAGTATTCAATTACAGATCGAAAGTGCATTTAGCACACCCTTTCTTTGGATAGTCAATCACGCTTATTTCCTTTATCTCTTGCGTTGCTTAGGAAAGTCTGGGTCACAACATACACGGAATGTATTATTTAATTCTTTGGACAGATTGCACTTCGGAAACTTCGACGACGAACATATATAAAGACTGCTGTGTGAATTTACTTTGAATCGTCCTGTGTAACCTGCAGTTCTTGATGCATATTCTATTCTAGTCCCACGTAAGTTATGAGTAATTGTCATTTACGGCATCAGCACGTAAGCTAGACAGGCCTTGGTTGATTTCCGAAGATCATCACATAGGATCTCACACAATCTGGTCACCTTAGATCAAGATATCTTGACTATCGAGTCGTACTTTTCAATGCTTTCTCGTGACAGCTTTATAGCAGTACTTATTTCTGCTATCAGGTATTTTGGCAATAATACCGGCAGCCAAAACATTGTAGCTCCCCAGACAACCCAAAAAGGGGAAATAAAGGGGTAAATGCTTTGGTAGCGAAAGGGGAAAACGCATCAGAATGTCGACTGTTTTTGCCGTTTTGTCGATAAATTACTCACTTTTTGCCTAAATGTCAGCTGAATTGTCTGCTTTTCGCCTAAATACACACAGAACTCCCTATTTTCCATCCATTAACATAACCCCAAAGGTCTACTATGTTCGCCTTTATTTTCAACAACAGACCAAAATAAATCTGCAATACAGCGTAAAACCGGCATGTTTTTGAAAAATTTTATTTAAAAGGTAAAGCGTATTATTGTACAACACTAGAGCAGAAGCTTAAGCATCGATTGTTTTGCATATCCAATGCAATTGCTAATTCATTGTTATTTGAAATTATCTGCAAAAGAAGAAACACGTGATGTATTATTTATAAGGAATGTGCATTTATTCAAAAGTTCACTGACACTCAAACACACATTCTCAACACTTCTACAGTTTCCCATGTAAGTAAAAAAGTAAGCTGTCTGAAAAATATTTATTGAAATGTAGGTAGAACATCAAAACAATTGCACGGCTATTGAGAATTGAGGTAGTCGTCCCGTGAATTCAGAATTTAAAAAAAGAAAAAAGTCACAACCATCTCTCAATGACATGCTTTGGTACAGCCAAATAATTGTGTAGATCTACAAAAGAGGTAGTAATGCTATCTTAGATTGGTCTTTGGCAGAATCCCCACATAATTATACCTCTACCGCATGATTATGATTTATTTCCTGCAATACAATCATCTGGTGGCTAATATATCTAACTGTAGGAGGTGATATTAACATCTTAAGATATGTGTTATTATCATCTATAGCATATACATAATATTTACAACACTCAGGACACCTTATGTTTTCACTATAAACCTATTTCTGCCATAAAAGTCGAACAAAACAGTGAAAATCAGCAGAAATTGTGATAAAGATAGGAAAAACGATAAATCTTACCATGGTATCGTTAGTTGTAACGCAGTTTTGGTAGCCTTGACGACAATACAATTTTTATGACGATATATGCCTGAATCTTGCTATTTCATATAAAAATAAAAGAATTGTCTACTATCAGTGTATACCTAACTAGAAATAATTGCTAATCTGCGATGCAAACACCGAAAAACTATTATAGCAGCACCTGAATAGTGAATTTTCAAGGACTTCGCGATACCATGTAACGCAAAATGGAAAAACCCCTTTTTACCTAATTATGAAAACGGAAAATAAACTTTCAAATTTATTCATAATGTATTTCGAAATTTGGTTGTGCACAAAGCAGAAATAAAAAAGTAGCGCAAAAAAGTGTCGCGATACCCCTGGAGCGCTGCCCTCATAACGTAACGTACCGTGTTTAAATATACCGCAACATGTACTTACATTTCTATAAGCCTCTACAACATAACATGCTGTTTATTAAAAAGGAAGACAATTATCGTCAACACAAGTAAGAAAATGCAATCACAGGGATTTCCATTAAATGTATATATCCGTACCTTGTTGTTTGTCTACCTAATGTGTCCCGACATGCTTGGTGGCTATCACAAATAGCTTGCGAGATGCAAGTGAGTGACGTGCTCTCTGTTTCCTATGTTCATTTTCACTAATTACCTTGTTTGTCCTGTAACGTGAATTCAGTTAAAGAGAGATCGTAGACGTGGGGCAACTGCGAACTTCTCAAACGCCCTTGGTTGTCATAGATCAACTTACAACAGACGGTGGAATAAAATACGAACAGCTTTCATGAAAACAATATAGCTTGCTTACGTTTAGTCAGTTTGCTAGTGAAAGCATGATCAAAAGCAGCTGACTTTAGTAGTGATTTACTTTGCAAGTGCTTGCTGAGTGTCGAATACTTTAACAATTGTGTTACCACTGCAATTGTAAACTTACGTGTGCTTTACTGTGATTCCATACATCACATAGTACTTTGTCAGCCTTGTGATTACGGAGGTAATCTGAGGGTGTGCATTGTTAAGATATCGAATATGGAAAGTATTTGGAAAGTGAAAGTCTGTTGATTAGATTGATAGGACGTAAAATGTATTATTATACATGACTGACCAGAGTGTCTTGGATAAGTATCCATTGCGATCACTTAGATTTATGGACGTATACTGGGTGAGGCACACACCCAAAATTATTCACGGGGTGCATAAATGGTCGCACAACACGACTCCTACACTCATAATTCCTCAACCGACAACCAACACTAGCGATGATACTCCGAATGTATCTGAAAATATACCTAAAACGACGCGTTCTGGAAGAACAGTAGGATTTCCAGAACATTTAAACGACTACTGCACGTAAGGCAGATTTTATATTATCTCGATCTTTCTTTTTAACGATATATAATCTTTTTTAAAAGACAATTTTATTATGCCTATATATTTATATTTTTATTAAAAAAACAAAAAAAAACATGAAAAACATTTTTTTTAACGCTATTACGTGTGCTTTAGCATATTTTCCATTTTTTCGCCGACATTGTGTTTTTACGCACATACGAGTGTATTTCGACAT